GTTAGATGCCAAAAACTCTCAATCTTTTTGTTCCTTGTACCTTCTGAATTGTGCGGAGCCAACGCCTGTCTCCAATGTGCAAACCCATCACAGGGCCACTTGGAGACAAATGAGACAAACATTCACTCTCACTCACACCTAGGGACAACTTAAGAGTTACCAATCAGCCCAACATGTTGAATGCACAAAAAGAAGCAAAAAAATTAGAAAAACATACTGAAGACATTAAAAACTGGTAAACAATAGTTTATGCTAACTTGGCATGCTCACAACAGGTTCATCAGCATAAAAAAATATTTAATTTTAGTTTGTTTATTTAATTGATGCCAGCATCACAGACGCACAAAAGAGACAGATGGTGTCTACAAGACGAGTTTCAAGCTGTGCATGCACAGCTCACATATGTGTCTCCTCAAAGGGACACCGCAGAGGGGTGTGTGTGTGTGTCACCCATGATGATGTGCCCCAGTGGGAGCAAAACTGCTGGGTTACTGGAGCGACACACATCGAGGGATCACACACACGGAAGCAGACATACACATTTGGACGGAGGGTGTCACGTCGGCTTTATTTAGAGGCAACCTTTAGATCCAGTTTACATCAGTAACACACAGAGGCTCATTCAGGTTTAAAAGAAAGCCATCTATCCATTATCTTTACTTGTTTCTTCATTTTCAAGTCGCGGGGTTCACTGGTACCAATGTCCAACCATCACTGTGCAAGAGGTGGGGTACACCCTGGACAGGTCTCCAGTCCATCACAGGGACACAAAGAGACAAATGAGACAACCATTCACTGTCTCTAACACCTATAGGGACAATTTCGAGTTGCCAATCAGCCTAACATGCATGTTTTTGGTCTGCGAGAGGAAACCGGAATACCCGGAGAAAATGCATGCATGCATGGAGAGAACATGCAAACTCCACCCAGAGAGGCCCCTGGCTGGGATTTGATCCAGCAACCTCCTCACTGAGAGGCAGCAGCTCTATCAACTGAGCCACCATGCTGCCCCTTTAAAAGAAAGCATATATTTATACTGTATCAAGAAAGCTCATCAGCTAACTATGTACGATGATGACATGATTGTATCCAGTGTGGGACTGTAAAACCTGCAATATTTGATTGTTGTGGGAAGAAATACTTAAAGCGGACCTATTCATTTTTTCATTGCTGATTATCCATGCTGCTGATCTCATGCTGCTGTATTTGTTCTCATCTGCTCAACACAGACTCATGTTCAGGCTGCTCTTTGATACGCCATACTATTTTACATTATTAGTGTTTAGAGTACATCTTAGATCTGTCAGAGTACCATTTGATATTTGTTTAGCGTATATCTTGATGTATATCTTAGATCCTTATATACAGTTTCTTTTTATACTTTATATTTTATTATTTTTGGGTGTAACTGGGACCCCGAGTACACAATTTCATGCCAACTCGTGTACCAGGTGATGGAAATTACAATATAAAACCTTGAACTTGATTTTTACACTGACGTTTTACAGTTTTTGCAAAATAAGTATTTTCAAGTTCATTCAGTTTTAACTAATTTTATTAGGTAAGTGAACTGTATGAAGCTTTAAATGTTTTTTTTTTAGACAAGTGGTAAGGATTTTGTCTTTCAATTGAAAGGTTGGGGATTTGAACCCCAAACCCTGAAGTCTGCTAAGGTGCCTTGGTTGGCCAAGACACCGACATCCTGTTGTTTACCTTTGTTCAGTAAAAGCAACGGTTTCTGTAGACTTGGCTGGTAAATTATAGGATTCTACAACTTATTAACATGTTGCATTAACAAAACAGACACGGATAAACATAAACACTGGTATCGTTGGATGTAAGCTCTGTTTGTACTGGTCACTTTTAGGGATCTAAAGCAAGCTAAAGGATTGTTAACTTCACGTGAAAAAAGTCTTGAAGGCCAACTTCACTTTGGGTGAAAGACAATTTATTTACAAGCTTACAAGCTTATTAACAAATTACCAACTCAGCTAAGGATGAATAATTTTACTTTCTTTATGGCAAAGAAGTGATTGATTAATGGAAATGATGTTCAAAAACCAAATTATCAAGTAATTACTGTGTCTTGAATAAGAAAATTGGATAAGAAAATTAAACCTACCTATATAGTTAAAGAAATAAAGTAAAGGAAGTTTTGTCATACTAATGAGTCTGTTATTTACCAATAAAAATATTGACTGTGAAAGTTTTATCTCAATAATTGTATGTTTAATGATAATACTGATGTAGAACCTAGCTAAATAAATGATAATATTAAATCGAGGAGGCTTTATCCAGACAAAATCACTCATTTAAGTGGTGTAAACTGTACAAGTGAGCTAAAATACTGCAGACTGCTTTAAATTGGTATAACTCAATTCATTATCACTGATCAAAGTTAGTGTTGTAGTAGCCCAGTGATCAGTGCCGCGGCCTTTAAAGACTGCAGGTTTGAGTCCAGGTTGCATCAGAAACGGCTTCCGGCGTAAAATAATTGCCAAATCTTTTATGCGAGTTCACAACAACTGAAAACGGGACTTAATGAGAACAATAGAAATCAAATTTACATAATGAATTTGTGCATCTGTTGTTTTTATTTCCATCAGGTATGATTTGATTAATGAGCTCCGACACATTTTCTGATGCAGAATCAAGCAAACGTTCCATCTATTCACAGTTTACCTGCTTTTCCCTTTACTGGAGTTGAAGCTGGTGCCAGCCTCCAGCGCGGCGGCATGCACCCTAGGTCGCAAATTCATTCACAGCTCAGGGACAATTTGACGCTACTTCCCATCCAATACAATGCAAAAATACAGCTGATCAAAGCCATTTGAAGATAAGAGACCTTTACTTTATGGCTTTCTTGTAACTGAATTTCAAAAACATGTTTTTCTGATTGGGAGTTTGGGGAATTAACGAAAGGATAAAGTCTTAAATATTGTTTTGTTTTGTTTTCAGCCATGTGTTAATGCAACTCCTAATACGTTTGCTCACTCAACAGGGGGAAGAAGATGTAGGTTGAAATACAATCTGATGCATATATAAACAATCCATGCTTCACTGGTTCAGTAATGTTTGAGCACTGAGTGGATTTCCAAGATGAGCGCAACCAGAAATGAACGTGATTTACAAAAACGAAAGAAAAGAAAGTACCGTGAGCGCTCACCCTCTGTGCTGTAAGGGTAAACATCTTATTCCATGATGTTAAATTAATGAGAAGTTTGTAGTGAAAGGCGAAATAATAAATCTGCTCGCTAAAATAAATTCAAATAAAACACCTTTCAGTACACATGAAATTATATCCAAGAGTAAACACAAACACCAAATTTAATATGTGCAGAAAATGAGTTTCCTTCTTTTTGAAGAACTTGTTTATTTGAATATTTGTTGTAGATGTAGATCTATGGTCTTTTGGATGGGGGGGGGAGGGGGGTAGAGTCGCATTCGGGCCCAAAAAAATCCCACCTGACCAGGCCCCAGCCTGTAGCCATCATTTTCCGAACCCGACCCGACGAATAGTACTTACAGGTCTGAACCCTAAAACCCCCGACATTTTTTAAAAGCTTTGACTGCTTATATAGTTAAACGGTCGGTGGACGTGCACGGATGAATAAAAGGGGCAGAAGATCAGAGCTGAGGGGGTGTTTGTCCTTTCATGGCTGTCAAAGCGCATTAAATCCCTGCTTCTGCTGCATTCTGCATTATTCAGACACGGACCCTGCTCCGTCATGTCTGCTTTGAGATTTCACCTGTTTGGGTCGTCGGCCATCCTCTGAGTGCAGCGGTTGGACGTCCATTTGGGCGATGGATCGCTTCCTGGCAGTACCGGTAGTCCCATCTGAAGCTTAACTGGACTTTATTGTCCCTCTTTTAAGGCCGTTCAGTTCACGGTCAAATGGTCGCGTACAGCTGGTGATGGTATGGCAAGCCGCTGAGTCCGCTGACTCAATCAAAAGCCCTTCACCGACCCGGCCCGCCCATCCAGCACATTATTACGAACCGGCCCAAATTTGGGCTGGGCTTCGGACCCGGGTTAGAAATGACAGCTCTAGTTGCGGGGGGCGTGTCTTGCAGTTCATATGAGTAATTACTACAGCGTCTACATTGCAAGTGTCTCAACCTTTGATTGTTAGAGGGCATCTACAACTCATTACCATCCGGAGTCAATCCAATACAAGATGGCCACCACGAGTGATCAATATTATCCAACACAAAAATGTCTACAAATGTCAGTTTTACAGATACTGAGCTAAGAGTCATGTGGTAGTAGATGGGAGTCATCTACAACTCGTCCTCTGAGCGTGCCTTCTTGAGATTTTGAGTAACATCATTTTCAAGGTTTGACCAAAAATGGCTACAACTTTGTCTTTTCTCAACATAAATTGATTTAGATTAATTTAGATTTTTCTAATATTGTGCGTCACTTCTTTGAAGCAGAATCTTTTATGTTTGCATCTCAGTCTTGAGAAATGTCCACACCTCCTTTTGGTTGCATCTCTTCTCCCTCACTTCAAGTCAAATCCCGTGACAAGCGTTTACTTAACAGCTTCTTCATCCCTCCACAAATCCACTTCTACTACGTTCCCTGTAAACAACAGACGTGGCCACACCCGGACTAGGTTTTCCAGCCTTGCATCCACCTTCCAAGACTTGCTGTAAAAAAACTTCCTCGACTTAAATGACTTTTTGAGTTATGTCTATATTGAATACAGCTCTGGCCACATAATCATCATTTCCTTCAATCACGCTCTCATTCCCCTGGCACCAATCAATCTGTGGTTTCCTTTTATGACTTTAAAGCAGTAGTCCGCCTGTTTCTCTGAATAGCAATGGCAGCTTTCGGCGCCACCTCTTAGCAAACTGTTCACTGCCAAAAATGGATGACAAAGACACCAAAAGGGAAAGAAAATGCTCCACTCCCTAATCAAAGTTTAACACAAAGCAGCTTTGGCACTTTTTCTACAGTCACAATATATTCCTCACCACGGAGAGATGCTTACCTGTTCTTTGACGGAGGCGAGAATGGACGAGGTTGTCTCCGTCTCAGATCGCTCTCCGTTGGAGGCCGGCAGCACCGGGGGGACCACGGCCCCCTTCTCCTGCTCCGCGGGCTGGTCTGGCACTGGCATTGCTAAAACCAACACAAAGAAAAAAAAGCATTTAGACGTTTAAAATTGATACCTGCTATGGAACAAAGATGCCCCTCACTTTTCATCTTTGCATTATTGATTCAGTTATCATCAGTAAGTATGAAATAGGGATGACTCTCAGCTACTACCACCAAAGTGTATATTGTAATACATAAAAATGACTAAATTACAGCCATTTGTGTGTTTGCTAAGGTCAACCAGCTGTGGTGGCCATCTTCAATCAGGATGACTCCAAAGGTTTATGAGTTGTAGAAATATATCCAACAATTTCACAATTTTGTGAAAGTCCGTCCTACGGTTTATGAAACATTTTGCTGACAGGGTTAACACCAAAGTTTTACATAAACTTCTTGCATATGTTGGCACTCAGCATATATTTTGATAACGCACGGTTAACGCCGCCGCAAATTTTAGCTCGATGTTTGTAAAATTTGTTTCGTAGCCATTTTTGATTGCTCTGATGTTAATTAGTTGTGGTTCTATATTTAATTGAGTTGACTCCAAAAGTTAAATGGTTATAGAAATATATCCAATAATTACTTTCTGATGGTTTCATTAAAAACCGTTCATAGGTTCATGGGATAATTTTTAACAAATAGGGAGGCGGGTCGTAACGTTCAATAATGGTTTTTATCTCAAATTTACTTGACATAATGTTCAATTTTTTAATCTATTTAGACATTCGTTTTATTTATTCCCTTCACATATTAATTAAATCTGATTTACTGCATTTTTAGATGTTTATACACTAAGTTTAAATAAATAAAGTTAAAGGTTTACAAGACTGATAGTTATCCAGGGAAAATAACCTTTTGAACAATTAAGGATGAAAAAAAAACTTTTGTTTGCTCAATAGTCCTGAGGCAACAATCTTGTGGTCACAGTGAATGGTTGTGAATAAATAAATGAATCAACACCAAACACAAACTAGTTTCTAACATTAATTAGTCTGCAACAACACACACACACTTGTCAGTTTCATTATATTACTTTACAAACAGAGCTCCTTGTAGACTTGTTAAAATGTAATGCCCCAGTTATCACAATTTTAAATAATTAATTCAGAATATAGGCAAGTGACAAATGTCTGACAATTCATTTCAAATAAATGAGCCTCTCTGGTGATTGCTGACTTGGGAGGCAGAAAGCCAGAGAACACGAGGGTCTTTGTTAATCACCACCTCACCAGCCGTAACAGAAAGCATCCGTCCTGCACGGACACGTCTGTCTATGTTTTCTGCAGAACATCGTTATAAGATCTGCATGATTTGACCGTTTCACAACCGTATGGTTCACGGTGGGCAGAAAGGTTTTAAAACACTGATAGTGAAGTGCTACTAGAGTCACGTTCTCTGCTCCATAATCACACTCTTTTCTTTTACAAACAAACAAGCAACACATTTGTTTCTTTGTATACTTCAATGTTTTGCAACTGCAAGCTACTTTTTTCCACTTTTTGTTTTTCTTTTAAAAATTCGTATTTTATAGATCAAGTTTAGAAGCAAGGTGGATTAGCGGTAGCACTGTTGCCTCACAGCAAGGTCTTGGGTTCAGGCTCCTTTTAGATCCTTGAAAAAGAGAACTGTGATAATATGTGGTAATAAATAAATGAAAATACAAAAAAAAAAAAAAAAGCGTAAAATTTTGATTGTGCAGAAACCATAATAATAATCTAATAAAGTTAAATCTGGTCCTCTAAGGAAAAAAAAATGTAGAAATGTTTCGTCTTTCATCCGAAAGACTTCCAGGAAGTCTATATTTAACTTTTTTAGTTTTTTCTACCTGGATTATTGAGCATGCATCAGGACATATTAATGTTTCTGCCTGATTCTCCACATTCCTGACAGGGAGTAAAAGACACAGGTGCGTAGTTACCATGGTGACCATCATAAGACACTGGCAACAACGTCATCTCACTAGATTAGCTACCGTAATTACAAAATATTGAAATTATAGCAACCTAAAATTTCTTCTGATTTTTTTTTACTAATATTAATTGAAGTTTTTACCGTTTACCGTTGATTGTAATTACCGTATTTTCCCAACTATTAAATCGCTCTGGAGTCTAAGTCGCATCAGTCAAAAAAACGCATCATGAAGAGGAAAAAATATAAATATTAGTCCCTTTGGAGTATTCAGGTCTCTTGTAAACGAGTCCCCGAGGCTCAATGGGATTAACCTGGATAAATAAAGGTTGAATGAATAAGTCGCATTTATTCTGAAATAGAGCCGTCGTTTCTAACCCGGGTCTGAGGCCTGGCCAAAATGTGCTGTATGGGCGACCCAGGTCAGTGTCGGGCTTTTGATTGCATCAGCGGATGCGTGGAGCTAACGATCCAATTTGGATCACCAGCCGCACGTGGCCGATTGACCGTGTGCTGACCGGTGGTTGAGAGAGGTAAAAACAAGTCCAGATGTTTGACTGCCAGCAACCCACCTGAAGCTTAACAGGATTCAGCTGCTGCGTCAGCGGACCTGCAGTTTATAATCAGCAGAATAGGATCTTCTTTTGGTGGCATTTTAATTCCGTTACGCTTTGTCTCTGTTGTCTTCTTTCTAATCGCGTAGTGAGTGTTTGGCGGGAGGGCGGCGGGGGCTTAGCATGCAGGAACAACATATGTGTAAGCCTGCAGGTAGTTGTCAAAAGCCTAGACGGCCCTCTTACACTTCTAGCGGCTGGAAGTGGTAACGCTTACTCTGGTTCATGTCAGTATGAATGAACATTTAAAGCATCGGTCAAAAATTGTGTCATGAATGTGGTAAAAATAATTTTTCGAAGTCGCTTCGGATTATAAGTTGCAGAACTGGCCAACCTATGAAAAAAAAACTGCGACTTATAGTCCGAAAAATACGGTATTGATAAAAGTAACTCTTTTTTCCTGCACAGTCCAAAACAGGCAAAAATTAATTTGCAGCTTGCGGCTAATGGAGCTTTTGCACACAACTTTATTAGAAGACCAATTAATGAACAGTGGAGGATTTTATTATGGAAACCTTCATTTTTAATATTTGATGTGTACGTCTGAATCTATGCAGCTAGCTTTGATTGATCTATGGAAACAGAACTAGGTTTAAGGATGCGTGCTCAGTAATCCAGATAAATCTAACAAGGTTGAGTCAGGTCCTCTGGACAGATTTTTAATAAAAGCCGTTTCAACACAGAAGAAGCCATCCAGAGGAACAAACTCAACCTCTTAAGATGTTTCTCCTGTTAACTGCTTCACATTTCTAAAGTTCTACCTCAGAAAAGTGCTCACAGCTGTGATTAGAGAGCGATTAAAACATTAGCCTCAACCCGTCACGCAAACTAGACTGTAAATCACTGATAATCAGAAAACACGCAGTCAGTCTACAGACTGGTGAGTTCGCCAGCGGACGGACAGTAAGAGACAAAGAGATGTCTGTAAATAAAAGATGCGAGTGAGACAGCCTGCCGATGGAAGTTTTCGCTCTTGCTGAGAAGCATCTCTTCTGTATTTGGCATCTCCCCTCCCAAGTGAAGATGAATCACTGGAGTTCGGCTCCAGAGCAACCAGAACCCAACAAAACCACCCCATGTGGTGGTTGAGACCCAGGTTTTTCTTGACGACTGTCAAATCAACAAGCCAGCGAGCAGAGAAAGGACTTTCCTGACCATCTTTGTGGACTTTACAGCTGTTTTCAACAGTGAATCAGACTTGGATTATAATTGGGCTTGAGCTGGTATATTTATAATTTTTAATAATAGATATCCATCTCTCTGCTGTTCTGCTCTTTGTGAATTTACATTAATCATCTGCTAAGTCAATTTTAATTTATTAGCTGGATTACTGGCATCCATACACATCTGTAAAAGGTTGCATATTTCACCTGCTGACATGCTAATTTTGTAACTTGTTGCAAATATTTGTTTAAAACAACAAAAAAGAAAGCCATGTGTAGCTCCACCGTGAAGACTGACTGTTATCCTTTTTTTTAAGACGTATAAAAATATACAAAAAAAATCAAACCCTTACCCAACCCAGCTACCGTACACAACTGAATAAGAAGTTGAATCCACAGGTTCCACACAAAAGAAGGAAATTCAAAAATACAGACAAACCTCGAAGGTATTTAAACGACAGGAACGGTAAAATGAAAACACGATATTTAAGATAGTTACATTTTAACACTGCGATACACCTTGAAACGAGCAACCAGCACATCCACACTCACAATAAACCCAAGCCCTTAATTACCACAACACAATAAGCTGACAAGAACATTTGCTCCTCCGTAATTTACCGTCGTGGATCTTTTTTTTGTTTGTTCCACAACCTCTTTCCTGTCTCATCTAAAAGCAATAGTATATTTAATTCGTAACAATAGCCAGCCTCTCTTCGAGGCAGGAAAATCACAGGTGCAAGTCATAATATTAATAATGCTTTCATTTCATTAGATGTGCCAGTAAGTCATGCCGGTGCACCAATACCCTGACAATACTCAACAAAATGGTGCACAGCTGTTAGGTGTTCTGCTTTTGTTGAGTAAAAATGTTTGCTCGTGGTTGGTGTGCGCATTTGACTTCATGTGCATCGAGTACAATTCTGCATGTTTTAAATCTTTTTTTTTTTTTTCTGAAGTGTGCACATATGTGTAGATAGTATTCCAGTACGTGACAAATTTAAAAAGTGCTGCTCTTTTTTTACATTGACAGGTGCCATATGACAGGATAAAACAGCACATCAGTAGTGATGTTTCAGAGACGTTTCGTCCAATAAAACACTTCTATTGCTTGTCAAAGCTGGTAATTATGCATAAAGAAGGCACAAACTCTTTGTGATTAGCATCCAGCAGGTGCTGTGCTCAGAAAATTGCATAGTTGGCTCACTGTAGATTGGCTTGCTGCAGGGATAATCCCAGTGCCAACACATTTGCCATCATATGTCATGGCACTTCACCACCCCAATACTCTCCGGGCTATTGTCAGTGTGCACAGCTGAGCTCTTGTTGAATAGATGCA